AAAAGAATCGTAAAGAGAATGACATGAGCAGTAGTAAAAAGCAAGCTTATAGCGTGGATGAGTCAAGTACAATAATGATTTCTAATGGAACCGGTGGAGGTGGCAGCAATAGCACTGATGAGGATGTTGAATATACAATTGCTGGAAGGACACTACCAAGAAAAGGCGATTTCAAAGGTTTTTATTTCGCTATTTTTCATGTTTATAAATATTTTCACCGAAGCTAATTATAATAATATGAAAAAACATTTAGCATATCCACAGGAAGAAATTAATACTGCGGTTGGCCACGTAATACATATGCTTGGACTGGTTGCACATTATCTTGGTGTAAAACTGCCTTTCTTTATGATGCGCGGTAAAAGCTCGAAGCCTTATGCAAGTGGCGCATTATCTGGACTTGAAAGAAGGTTTTATTTAATATTCAAATTTTTTTTAGATTTTCATAAAATATAATTCTAAATATAATAAATTGTTATATGTGCAGTAAACGTCCGCTCTTCCTAACTGACCACAATCTCGAGCATTTCACGTTTGGAATGGCGATGTTGAATTATAACATCGCATATTTGTGCCATTCGCAAGGTGTTGATATACCATTTAATAAAGTTCCATATACGCTTCAGAATTTGTATCTATGCTGTAATTCGGTAAATCTTGGAAGGTATGTTGTTGTTGATTTTTTACTTGATATTATTGTTTATTCTTGATGCTATTGATTGATACACATACACACACATATATTTTTTTTAAAAGATATTCTCATTTAACCACACTAAGTGCTTCAGAGCAAACATTTTCACTCGATTTCGAACAACTTGTGAGCCTGATGTTTACTCGGAGATACAGTGATGAAAATGGCCCGATAATTTTTATACCCGATGCCACACTCTATGATAATTATTTTTACGAGGAAGATGATGAGGAGATAGAAGATGGAAATGGAAATGAAACTTGGGATATAGTGGAAATGGTTGCATAAAAAATAAAGTATTCTTTCTTATACTAAAGTCAAGTTTTTTTTTAATCAATTAATGATGTATATAGTATTTAATAATTAATAATAAGAAGGTCTAATTATATTAAGTCTAATGATAATGATGATGATGATGATGATGATATAGTAGTAGATTCAGTGTTTTATGAAAATACTTTTTAAGCATTTTGCAAAAACCAAAAATAATAATAATTATTAAATTATATATAAAGATACATATGTATATATTATATATTAATCTAAGCGAGTGATGATAATTTTCAAACATCGTAGAACACGTTAGTAACCATCTGTGCCTTGATAAAAAGTCCCAGGGTGCGATTGTTGTGATTGTGGCGGTGGTTGTTGATACATTACACCAGTTTCATCGTCTTTCTCTTTTGAATTTGATGATGATCGCTCAATTTTTGTTGTCTATATTATATAAAATTAATATAAATAAATCAGTTTCAAATTTTTATATTGATCGGATCAACTCTTTAGGCATTTACTAATTAAACCAACCTCTCGGTATTTGTGAAGATAAATTTTCAGAGCTTCAGCATAATTTTCAAAGCCAAGCGACTGCATTGCCCAAAGGATATCTTCTCCATTGATAGTTTTACGTTTTTCTTGTTGGCAACGATCGCTAGCCGTATTTAAAAATCAAACAGAAGAGTCAAGAACAATAATAATAATAATAATAATAAATAATAACCATGTTGTTAAGGTAACCGAATACGCGTTTTATTTCTTTTTGAATAAAGAATTTTTCGGGTTTGCAAATATTAACTATATCAAATAAAAAGGATATTCGCTAGTTATGAAAGAGATGAACTCTGATACGCATTCTTGCACGCATTCTTTGGCCTCTTTAGCGATTTTGGCATTTTCTGGTAAAGCTTTTTTCATTATACGTGCTACGTTGGCTATTGGAAGAAAACGATCTTGTTCTTTAAAGTCTTCTACTTCGTCGCCGGAAGGATGTGGAGCTTCTGATGCCATGGTTCTAGATGAAGTTTTTGTTTATGATTGTTGTTATTATTATTATGATGATGTTATTACTACCACTGCTACCGCTATGAAGGGTCTAGTTAATGATGTTAGTTGTTTACGATAAACTACTTTGCTATATATAGAAAATCAGTCATTATCCCGCTGATTCGAGATCGTCGCATTATCAGAAAAAGTGTGACTTAAAAAGAAGGATAGCTGTAATTCTTTATTGGATAAATCGAATTTTGTTTCATAAAGAAAATGCCATTAAAAACTTATCAAGAAGAATTCATTACTTTCGCTATTAAACAAAATGCACTTCGTTTCGGAAGCTTCACACTTAAATCAGGACGCGTTAGTCCGTTCTTTTTCAACGCGGGGCAGTTTCATACCGGACGTTCCTTATCGTTTCTCAGTCAATGCTATGCTGAAACTTTAGAAGATACCGCAATCTTTTCTTCTTCAGCAGAGTCAAACACAACAGTTGCTAGTAATACTGGTAATAAAAATGATTTAATAGAATATGATATAATATTTGGTCCAGCCTATAAAGGAATTCCTTTGGTATCTTCAACCGCGACAGCGCTCTACGAGAGATACCGCAAAGAAATTCCTTACTCATTTAACAGGAAAGAGAAAAAGGATCATGGTGAAGGCGGTAATATTGTAGGAGCACCTCTAACTACAGGTAGTAGAGTAATAATTATCGATGATGTGATCACTGCAGGCACGGCGATTCGAGAAAGTCTCGAGATAATTAAATCTCATGATGCTGTGGCGGTTGGTATTATTGTGGCACTTGATAGACAAGAACGCGGAACCGGGGAAAAGTCTGCCATTCAGGAATTAGAGCAAGATTATGGAATACCGGTGAAATCTATTATCAATCTCGAGCAAATTATTGAATACTTGACTGAAGAAGGCGGTTATCATGAGCATTTGCAGAAGTTAAAAGAATATCGAAAAATTTATGGAATATAAAATTTAATAGTTTTTACAAGGGAATAATTATGTTGATTGAGCTAGTCTAAATGTCCTATTTTTATTAGTTATATCCGAATCTGAGCAAAGTATGATATCATAGAAATTTCTAGACGAATGTCTTTGTCACGAGTTTATTACTATTTTAGTCACTTAATTGTACTTTAAAACTATAAATTAAACGTTAAACATCACGATCACATTATTGATCAACATTTAACTATTTGACTTTACAATGAGTTACCGTCCAACTCTTTCAGCCACCAATGATGGTAGGCAAGGAACAATTCTGGATACTCTTGGGCTCAACAAACTCAATTTCGATACTTTGCATCACGATGTACGTCGTAACCTTACGAAAGTTGACCCAAGATTAACGGAAGATTTGAAAAACATTACGCTTCTGTTGAAAGAGGAGAAAAACATTTTGAGTAGCTTGCAGAATGTTGCTCATGAAAGGAGAGAAGGTATGAATTCGTACGGTGGTCCTTCTTTTTTTATGATGTAAAATGTGTTTTTGTGCCTGTTTGACTTGCTCGCATTTTTAACCCTCGTTCTACGTGAACTTTTGTTAATAAAAAGTCAGCAAACATATTTTCGTTTGGGGAAAAGAAGATAATAGTGAAGATATTGCAGTAAGTTATTAAAATTCTAGAATTATTTTTCGTGAGTCATTTGATAAAATCTTTTAATTTAGGATATAACCGAAAAACTGGCAAATCTATTGGAGAAAATAGCAGATGCAGAGACAGTTTTATGCGGTAAAATTTAATTTCTTTAATTATCAGGATTAAGATTGTGAATCTGATAAAAAAAGTTTTTCTTAATAATACTAATAACTATAACCCTAATTATTGTTATGTAACAACACCAGAAAAATACGACCATTATCGCAATCTACTCAAAGAAATCCGGGAAGCAGATCAACGTCTTCACACCCCGAAAGAACGGCGACGAAAAGTTAATGAAGAAATATCCAGACTCATGAAATCGCATCCGGGCTCGCCGCGAATCCAAGAACTTCAGAACGATCTTCAACGTATAAACACAGTTTCGACGGTTGATGAATTAGAGGTCGGTAATATAAAAAGACAAAAGTTGAAGGAGGCACTCATGATACAGATGAATGCGATTTTTGAGACTGCGGAAAAAATTGCCATAATTACAGGTTTTGGGTTATACCTTTTGGAATATATTAATACTACGCCGGCTAAAGTCGGAGAACCGAGGCCAAAATATGACTGTAAGGATTTTTTTAGTTTTTGCGTATGCTTTAATCTCGAGAGGGTAAAATTCATTTACTGAGATGAATTTTTATTTTGTTCACGAAAGCTTTCAATGCCACCCAAGAAGTAGTTAAAGAATGTCAAATAGCATTACATCGTTGGCAATCACCATCCACTGACATCAAAGAGCTCTTACCAGCGCTAACAAACACCGCACCCGCACAACTAGCCGCCCAAAAACAAGAGTACGAGGAAAAAATAGCTCAAATACAATCCACAATGACTTCGCAACGACAAGCCTCCGACGACCAAATCGCTGAACTCCTAAAAAAACTAGCAGACCAAAAAAAAACATTCGAAGATCAAATAGTCGAACTGACCACGACATTCGCAACACAGAAAGAAGCTTACGAATCACAAATTAATGATTTATCGGACTCAGTATCAACGCAAAAACATTTTTACGAAGTGCAACTTAACGATCTTGGATCTGCCTTAGCGGCGCAACGAGAAGAATCTGGAACGAAGATTTCGGAACTCGAGTCAAAAAATCAACAGTTCCAAATGCAAATTCAACAATTTGAAGCAAAGATTAGTGAACTGACGGCTGCTTTAAATAGTGAAAAGGAAAAAAATGAAACACAACTCAAAGAACATAATGTAATTCTCTCGCAAAAGCAGGAGTATGAGATACAAATTCGTGAAAAAGATGCACTTATTACTAAACTCCAAAATGAGATGAATAGCGTTGCCACTGAAAAAGGAAAACTATCACAATTGGTAAAAGATTTAGAGGAAACACTTAAATCCAAAACATCCACTTTAGATCAAAAAGAGGAAAAAATTGGGCGTCTCGAGGATGATATCTCGAGTATTAAATCCCAACTTGCTGGACTCAAACTCACTCCTTCACCACCAATACCTTCGAATGAAGGTGCAGGTCCTTCGTCAAATAGATCAGCAGTATCTGGAGCTGGACCAACAGCAGCATCACCTCCACGATCTTCTGCTAGTGTAGATGTTGCTGCTGTTTCTACGGAACAACAAGATGGATTATCCCGAGCACCGTCTGTCGCTCAACATATGGGACCTCCATTTCAACAACAGCCGTTATATGGTCAACCACCACCGCAAGGATATTATAATCAACCACAATATTATCAACAACCATATTATCAGCAGCAACAACCACCACCACCACCACAAGGTTATTATGGTCAAGTTGCGCCTGGTCCTGGATATCAACCACAAGGTGGTTATGTTGGTCAAAATGTCTCTCCGCTTCCAAATCAAGCAGGCGGTTTTGTAGGAGGTTTCTTCCTTAATGAACAAATTGACGAAGCACCACCTGCTTATGATGGTCCTCCAAAAGATGGTTTTCCGGGAGATGAAAAGAGAAATGAGAAAAGTTAATTTATTTAAACAATTTTCTGAATTTCTGTTAATAATTTTGTCTATATTTATAATTTCATGATATTGTTTATATATATTTTTATTTAAATTCGACTTATTAAATTCCTGCATCAACAATATATATTATTTAATGTCATACATAACAATATTTAAAAAATAAAGTGTAGTTTTGAATTAGACTATGTATTCACAAAGTACTATATTTCGCATTGCAAAATATCGTCATGATTCGTATTTGATAAAGATTAATGCAAAATTTTCTAATATCAAATTTGTTATACAGTCAAAGCCCTGTATAACGATTATAATTTGTATAGCTATTTTAACTATATGCTTTCCTGTTCTAATAAACTTTTCAATAATATTTTCATCTCTAACAAATTTCTTGATGAGATTTTTATCTTTAAAAAATTTCTTGATAATTTTTCTATTTCTGTTATCAACAAATTTTTTAGTGATATTTTATTTCAAAAAATCTGTGATATTTTTATTTTCAAAAAATTTTGAAGTTTTTATCTTCAATTAATCTTATTAAAATGATAATATTATTATAAATTGCAAATTGACAGAATATTACAATATGTCAAAAAAAAACTGGAATTTTTAATTTTTCTTCATAAATATTTATTTAAATAACATAAAAATTTAAATATATATACTTGAAAGTATGATAAATAACTTTATTTGAATACTTATTAAAATTTTTTATAATTTATATTTTTAAAATTAAAAATTTTTAATAATAAGAAAACTTAAATAAATTATTATAAATAAATTTGATTATTAATTTGCAAATTAATTTTAAATAAACTTGTTTACTAGATTATCAATTATATATATTTAAAATTTTATATAATTTAAATAAATACTTATTAAAAAACAAATAAAAAAAGATTAAAAAAGTATTTTAAATTTTTTATAATCAAAAAAAAAATTTAATAAAAAAATATTAAATATGAAATATTTTAAGTAAACTTTTTCATTAGGTTATCAAGTATTATATTTAAAATTTTATATAAATTAAATAAATATTCATTAAATATAACTAAAATCAAAATTTTCAGTTTTTTTTAATATACTATATATTAATAATTATAAATTTAATAAAATTATAAAAATTCTTGATTTATAATTCTAAGTATTATTTAATCAAGTTTTTATTATTATATAAATAAATATGATCCAGTATAAAAAAATTAATATATCAATATAAACTTAATAATTACTTCTAATAAAAATCATTCAAATTTTAACTAATCTTTATAATTTTTTTATATTAATTAAAAAATAATCTGAATTAATTTTTTATATTATTTTAATAATAAATGAAGTATTACTTTATTAAAAAAACTAAAATAAAATTTTTTTTAAAAAAAATATTTTAAATATTATTACTATTAATTTATAATATTAAAATTTTAAATTATGCAGATAAATTACTCTAAATTTGATAAATATATATTTAAATTTTATAAAAATTGAATTAGTAATTATAAAGATATTAAGATTCAAAGTTTAATAATTAAATTATTTATTGTAATAATTTTGATTGGATTATCTCTTTTTAGCTCAGATCTTTATTTTATATTATCTATATTATAAATTAACTTCTGTATACTTTTTATGAAAATTAATTTTATTTTGAATATATAAATAATTATTTATATATATAATATATTAGATTTAAATATATTATCATATAGATAATTATTATATATATCTATATTATTAATTTAGTTAATTAATATTTTTAATTAAATTTTTTTTAATAATTCTTTTATAATTTTACTTATTTTTTTCTTATTATTATTTATATTATTATTTATTATATTATTAATTATTAAATTATGATTAATTATCTTTTGAAGATATAAATTAAATTAATTAATTATATTTAATATATATATATTTTAATTAGAAATTATTATTAATTTATTTATATTTTATATTATTTTTTTCTTATAAATAAGTCCTATTTATTTTGTAATTTAATCTCAAATCTGAATACTTTTTAAATAATAAAATTATAAGTTTATAAATTAAAACTATTCATATCATATTTTATCTTGTTTATAACTATTAATAAAATAATCTTATAACTTAATAGTAGTAGATACAGTTATTACAAATACTATTTTTTAATATCTTATTATAAATTATATATTATACACACTTTATATATATATATTTCAGTTTTAATAAATTAATATTTATTAAAATAAATTCAAAATAATTTAATTAATTTATGCAAAATATGATTAAACTTATCAAAATAGTAAAAGAAAAAGATCTTTCTGATTCAAAGTCTTTATCTTATTTTTTAATTAAATTATTAATATACTTAGGAGAGCTAAATCATATTGTTTTTGATAATACACTAGAGGTTTTCAATGGAATTCAGATCAGGACTGTTGAAAGACCAGTTCAAAACTTCAGGTATGATTTCTTCAAGAAATATCTTGGCAAGATGGCTTGTGTACTTTAGATCATTATCTTGCTGAAACTGCTATTTATCTTCTAATAATTGCTCTATCTCTGGAATATATTCACGAAGAATATTAACATAGAATTTAGTATCCATAATTTCAGAAAAGTAAAATAAACTACTTTTACCCTTTATACAGAATCCTCTTCATATGAAGATCTTTATTCGGTCCTTGAGTATGTGTCATATCAGTTGTGCTCTCTTATATCAACACTCCACTATGTTCCAAAAGAGTTGGAAAGCTATCTCATCCAAAAAAAATATATCATTTCAATCATCATTGAGGTACTTTCAGGTTCACTCTACACATTTATGCTTATGAGTCTTGATAAGTATTAGAATTCCTAATGAGAGTACTTTTTTGTATCCAAGAGCATTCAAATATCTTCTAACTGTTTGATAAGATACTTCTACATTGATTTTTGACAACTTTGTTACTAAAGTTCTTATTGAAATAGATGAATCCCTTTGAATATATTGACCTAATACCTTTAATGCTTATGCCATTATCTTCTTGGATCTACCTTTGCTTCCAGCATGCTTATTCGTATTGAATTTTTTGAGTTTATTAATGTTATCATATATTATAGAGAAGAATATGTTGATTATAGAGTGAATTTCTTTGGCATTTTGAATGCCCTGATCCCACAATTATAAAATGAATTGATGGTTGGTTTCTTGCTTAGAAGTCATTACTATATCCAAAAAAAAATGAATGAATGGTAATATGAAGAAGTTTTACAAACACTCTCACTTCTGATGATTTTTTCCATTTTAAATTATGAAAATTGGCCTTAATTTGGCAGAGTTACGCATACTTTTTTTCTGCAGAAATTTTTCCAAATACTTATGAACCACACTATATTTAAATTTATTTCTAACAAAATATTCTCTTAATAGAGCAAGAAGAAAATAAGATAAAATATATAATAAAATATATGTTTTATTAAAGAAAAATATTAATTAATTACTCTTAACTCAGTAGCTAATTCTTTTTATCAAACTTAATTATTCTTCTTAATTACTTCTTAACTCTTTATATATAATATTTTTCTTGCTATACTAATTACAAATCATTTCTAATATGATATTTCACTTAATTTACTTAAGAACAAGTAGAATTTGAAAAGAATAATCACAAGAAATATTAAATATATGATAATAAAGAATTTAAAATTAGCAAAATATTAAATTATT